TCTGACCGCTTGCTTGCAGTACTCTGACGACGCTTGGAGCGGCCCCTGCCCATCGGCAATGTGGGAACACGCTGACGCCAGGATAGAGCCCGTGTCTTGATGGCCCCTACCTGTCGGCGTGGTGACTCATGCGGGGTGGTGGGGGGAGGAAGGGGGGATGGAGGGGGGAACAGAGCGCGAATGGGGAATGTGGGCGTTCCAGCGCGGTATTTATTCCCTTCGAGGCGGGAGGAGGCTAGCAGAAGGCTGACATCCGCGAGTCAAGCCTCTGAGCTATTTGCGTACGCGCGAGGGCCTCTGCACGGGCAGCCTCAGCGATGCACTCGGTCTAGGCGCGGGCATCGCGGCCGAGCAGCCAGCCTTGCGCCCAGTCGAGATCGAAAGTGGACGCTGATTCGCTCGTTCATTCGAGTCGATCTTCAATGTTGAAGCATACTGCATATTCGTGTGCAAGTGGATGGCAAGATCATAGATTCTTCATGACGCGCATGGCTAACGATGCCATGCATACGCCTATACCGGGCGTTGTCTATTGAAGCCCCATTGCTCTAGGCAAGGTGACTTCCGCCGGCCCAATGAACAGGAAGTCAGCCTCCTGATCTCCGTCGCTACGGTCGAGGTTGAATACCGCTGTCTTTCCCCCGTTGTCTTGCACGTCGTATGCATAGCCCGCAGCCGGATAAACCTACAGAAACATAAGTGAATGAGCAGCAATTAGAGTCAAAGAGGCTAAGCAAGTACGCACAGTGGAAGATGTCCCAGCAACTATGCAGAGATCAGCTTGAGCCACAAGTTCCTCGATCTGGCCGAGGTACCATGGCGTTTCATCGAACCAGACTACGCCGGGCCGTGCAAGCGACCCGCACCGCGTACACCGCGGCAGGTCCCCCTCGTCGATGTGCGGCTCCGGCGCGTCCCCTGAGAAAACCTCCTCGGTCCCGGCCAGTGCTGGGCATATCGGCGACGATGTGTTGTGCTCTCTATGTCCACAGGCAGGGCTTGTGCACACGACGTCGAAAAGCCGACCGTGCATCTCCAGCATTGAATTCTGCACTGCTGGCGAGCGGATCTCGTCTGCGAGCTCGGGGTGCGAGTTGGCGATGACGTCGAGAGCCCGACGACTCAGCCCATCGACGTTCTGGGTGATGAGCGTGAACTCCACACCAGGGGCGATCTTCTGTCTGATTGACGGGATGGAGAACATGGCGAGCGCGAGGTGGCCCGGATTAGGCTCCGCGGTAAGGGCCCTGTCAAGAAAATCTCAGCAACGGCACAGAGGAATACGTTGGGAGTGACGACGCACTTCTCTCGGCGGTAGTGGTAAAACTGCCACACGCGAGAAGGGTTCACGTGGAACGCTTCGGAAGTGGCGAGCCCAATAGCATCGTGTTTGCGCCACAGCCCGCCCGCGCCTCGGAATGTAGGAATACCTGACGAGGAGGAGACGGTGGGTATGTTAGACACTATCAACGTATATCATAGAAGTAATCGGTAATGCGTAAGCGTGAACTCGTGGGGAAGGAAGGACGGAAGGGCTCTCATATGACATGATAGAAAGCGCCCTTCATACATGTAAACCGCTCTCAACGCCAAGCTTCAGCAGCTACGTACCAGATGCGGCAGAGAGGCCAGCACCAGCAACTGCGATGATCCGTTTCGAAGCTTTGAGCGTCGCGATGAATGAGGGCATGTCGGTCGACGGTTCGTGTTCAGTTCCTGACGATGATTCCGAGTCTGAGGCCATTCAGAAAGCGCGTAATATGTGGCGGAGCCCCTGTGGCGCAGATCCTTAGGCTTCAAGCAGAGAGGCGGCCAACGGTGATGTTATATCACAGAGCCCTCGGCGGTCGCAGCCGATGAGTCGGAGGGAGAAGGAACGACACGAGCGCCGAGTGCGGGGGTGCACCCTGGTGCACCGCAAACAGCCGGAATGATCGTGCTGCCGCCCCGTAGCACGTGTATCGAGATCTCAGATCCACCCGTAGAGCTTTTTCAGCAGCCTCTCCAGTTCCTGCCACACCCACCGTACACCCTCCTCACCTCCTCCACTTACCATCCGTCAAACCTCTACAAAACACCACTACCACACCACACACAATGGCCAAATCCACCCGTTCCAAGGTCAAGCGCAGCTTCCGCGCAAAGAAGCGCACAGACGGTGTATACGCCGCGGTCGAGGCCGCGCGCCTCAACCGCCTCCACAACAAGCTCAAGGCGATAGCCACTACCGACCTCGAAGTTGCAGATGAAGAGGATGATGAGATGGAGGAGGGCGCCCGTATGGAGACCGAAGGTGACGCAGCAGCAACAGCAGCAGGTTGGTCTCCGTTCTGGCTTGCGGGCCTTGCGCTCGTCGATGCACAGGATATCACTGCGGATGGCATGGCGGACTTCCTGCGCCTTGGTGCGGGAGAGTGCTTGCTGCGCACACCCGGTGCTAGGAAGAGCAAGAGACGCAGCCGTGCCGCCAGTACGGCTGTTCGTGCTCCTGCAGGGGACGCCTGTGGGCTCGACCATCTCTTCCCCAACCTTCCTTCGGGTTCCGGTTTTGGTGTCAGTGGTTGACCCCCTTGCTTCTGTCTGTCACAGATGGCCAGTCATCTGCCGAGAACACAAACGGAGCAGGTTCGCATCATTTAACTTCCTTTGCTCATCTATACATGCTCATTTTCGCCCCGATCTGTCCTCAAATCCACTCTGAAATCTCGGCCTCCTTCCCTTCCCATTCACATCCCATCTTCACAAACCCCACGAATACCGCCCTCAGACAAGATGGAGACCGACGCAACCGGCGCATCCTCAAGCACGACGGCGCGGATATCGACGCACGGCCCGCGCAACTCGCGCCGCGAGTCCTGGCGCGAGTCCAAGGGCCTCGTCGGCCGCCCAAAAGTCAGCAGCACCATGAACCGCCAGGGCGTGCCCGCTGCGCGCAGAAAGGCCGGTCGCTCGCATCGCAGGCGATGAGTCTCGGTGGCTGTGGTGACCTTGTGTGTATGTATACCTGGAGCGACTGTAGGGGGGTTGTGTTGAGCTGTGTATCGCAATTGCATTTCTCTCGATTCCGTCATCCCCTTGCCATTCATGGAGACACGGTCCATTTGTGTGAAACGACGGCGAATGCATAGATTGCAAAAGCGGTGTGCTAAACGAGCGAAAGGACGACTCCACGTCCATGTATTGGTACTGTTGAAAGGATTTCCCGACCGGTATTTCTCCGCCTGGAAGGCATCATCTACTACTACTCGGCACTTATTATATACACTCTTTCCGGCTGGGCGCAAGATGGTACAGTAGTAAGAAGCGGCAGGGCACACGGCTGGGGGGTAACGGGCGGGAGGGCGGACGAGCAGGGAGGCGGGACGGCGTATTACCGACGGGCGACCGCGCGCGTCGGCGGGGTATTATTAACGTAGCGGATATCGAGGGGCGTGCGTTGCGGCTGGGGCGTGGCGTGTCTGTGTCTTTGTCTTCTACCGGTCGTCGTCGTGGATGCGGGCTGGGGCGGTGCTTAGACGGCGTCATATCCGCGCTCCGTCTCCGACTTGTCGTCCGTGAGCTCTGGCGGCTTGCTGTGCGAGGTGTACGCAGACTCAGGGCTGGGCCTACACAGGTGCAACTCGGATGTTAGCATGCGGAGTCGACGGACACGGAAGGGACACGAACGCGGAGGGTCGAGAGGGGATGGGGGTAGTACGAGAGGAGGGCACGCACTCGTAGTCCTCCACGACGATGTGGTCCGTCGTAACGTGCACTTCGGGGCGCGGGGGAAAGCGTGCCCTCTTCATAGTTTGCAAGCGAAGCGCTGCTTGGGGCGGCGGCCGCACAACGGAGATTTGCGTCGCGCTGTGCACGTACAGATCGTCCTCTTCGCCAACCTCAGAGAGGCGGGTTACGGTGCGGCACGCAGCCATAGCGCTGTATCATAATGGGATGAGAATTTTTGGGTAGACGATCTTGTGGGAGCGTGCGTACGTCATGGCAGCGGCAGGGACCTGAAGTGAATAAGACTGTGAGCAGGCTGCGGAACGAAGAGCAATTTAAAGTGACGTACGGCCGAGATGCTACGTTGCGAGGAAAGCGCTATCAGTATGCTTCGGTACCGAGCCTTTGATATTACTCACACATTGATCACGGCTAATGAAATCAAAGGAAGTCAGCAAACATGTGAGGCGTAGTTATGCAGAAATGCGTACGATTCAGGTTAAGGATGCTGAGTACCTGAAGAGATAGCGACTAATGAGCAAACCCCGTAGTTGAAAGAACGGTCCGATCACTTACAGCAGGGAGAACGTTGGCAGCGAAAGCAACAATGTAGCAGAGCAGGCCATCCTCGAACAGCATCTCCCACAACGATGCGCCGTGATCCCTCTGCATGAGCCCGATGGTATGGACCACTGTAAGGACGAGGTTGTAGCCCATCGCTGTTCGTCCAACACACGTGATAATGCAAGTTCAGCAAATGGAAGTTTCGTCGGGCAAGTATGTGAGATTACTCACTCGCCCAGAATGTGATGCTCAGGAAAGTACGCTTCGTCGTCGTCACGACACACGATAGGCTCGTCGCGTCGTATTCAGCAGTCATGATGAACATGCCGCGCCAGAGGAGTGCCCAAAGTCCAAGGCCCAGGACACCGAGAGGAATGGCGACTGCGAGTTTGCGTTCCCACACCGCAACGCTGAGACCGGGTCGCGTATCAAGATCGCGGCGAAGTGGTCGAGGCGACGGATCAGCGGATGAATGACGGTGTTAATTGACGATGCAGCTTACGTGCGAAACGCGAGGACGGTCGAGGCGCACATGAGGGACATGTTGCCCGCCCACTGGAGACAGGATTAAGTTAGTAAGAATATAACTGTATATTTACAACACTCTTACAGCAATGAAGGTGTATAGCGCTTGACAGTTGATCTGTATAATGTCAAGCTTATATTACTTGGAGAGGGAGCAAAGTTCGTACCGGTCCCTTCATGACGGAGAACGATGCCATCCTATGAACACATGTCGTCAACATATATACTCCAGCATCACACGGGTAGACACTCACAACCCGGAGACCGAGAGGATGAGACAGTAACGGCACAGGAAGAGGAACACTGCGTTGGGTCAGTTGCTAGCACATGGGGGAGACTTGTCGAACATACCCTGCACGAAGCCCAGAGAGTTAGTAGCGCGCTTAGGCAGACAATAGAGTTCGGACTCACCCAGTGCCATCGAATTTTACGACGACGAGTCAAGACAGCCCACTCGAAGTCCGAGGTCTGGAAGACCTCCCATACGTACAGGCCGAAGAAGGCGAAGGTGACATTGACATAACCCACTGGCGACGCGCGCAGTCGCGTCAGCAGATATTCGACCCAGGTCGTCGACGCGACTCGCCTCTGTCTTTCGCAAGTTCCTCCGGGGACGTCCAGTTGACCATGTTCGGGACGGGAGCGGGTGGAGGACCGAGAGAGGAGGAAGCGAAAGGAAAGCGAGGGCGGACGGGGCAGGGGCGAAGGAGGAACGCGAGCGCGACTGGGAGGTATATAGGCGACGCTGCGGGCGGCACGTGGAGGAGCCGGAGGGAGAATAAGGCAAGGTTGGCAGCGCAGAGGCTTCGCTAGCGCGATTGCCCTTTCGGTTCCCTGCCTTGTATTTACCTCCGTCCCTGCGCCCTCCGTCCCGCGCCCATCTTTCCGTGCCTCCGTGGCAACGCGCCCTCCGCCCAGCGTCCCACCTCCCTGCGCGGACGACCAACATGCTCAGCGCACACGTCGAGAGAGGCACGATGTGCTACCCCGGCGGCGTGGTGGCGGCGGGGTCGAGTGAAGAGAGCGGGGACGAGCGGCGGCGCGTCTCCGGGCTGTGGGCGCTACGTGATCGGACCGATGCCAATCACGGATCGCGATTTACACTCAATCGCCAGATCCAGCAACTCTTGCCATTCCCGGCACCTTGAGTCCTTCGCCTCTTCTTCCAGCCCTGTCCAGCCTCAGCCAGGTACTTCAACGCTGCGTCCGACCTGCGACGCACGCATGCATCTGCCCCAGCGTCCTGACGATGAGGGTACGCGTTACTTTTCTCGCGTCTATTGCGGCAATATGCCGGTAAAGTGACACCCAGGCGCGTCGCCCATCACGCCGACGCCCGACGCCCGTTTTCCTTACTTACCCGCTCACGTAAATTCATTAAATGCGCTCGCCTCGAGCTCGCCTCCACACCCATACGTTCCCTCGGCGACGTCCTTGCACACCTTGCACCGGGAGTTCGGCGTGCGCAATGCTGAACGCATGTCCCCTCATCCCTGCGACTCGGGACGAGTATCCTGCTATTTATGGAGGGCGTTGCTGCAGCAGGCGCACCTTCCCTGCGAGCGCCGCTGACAGCGGCGCGCCTGCACGAGGCAAAATTTTCGGGTCCTCCGCGGGCTCTGGCGGATGCGGTAACGGTGATCGCAAACATGAAACGCGAGCGTACGTACAAACCTCCTCGCCCGGTCTCCGCAGCGGGCCCGTCCGCGCACCGTGTCCGTTTGCACGACTCGAGGCGGCGCGGACCAGGCGGAGAAGATGTGGTTTAACAGAAGGTCTTAGGGTTTGTTGCGTTCCAGCAGATTCCAGGGGGGAGCGAAATGGAAGGCCGACGTCAGTGTGGTTTGCTCGCCGGCTTCAATCAGACGGCAGCGGCGATTATGGGGGACGCTCCTCTACATGAAAGAAACAACATGTAATGGTTTTGCCGTCACCCTATGGGATGAGGGGAATACACGATAGGTCAACAGCATGTACAACCTCACCTCTGCAGCGGTCGCAGCACGCCTATGCACACCACACCGCGACCTGCCCGTCCGCGCCCGCGCTCACGAGCCACGGCTGGCGGGGCACCCAGCGCACGGCGAACACGCCGAGGCCCTCGCGCACGCCGTGCCCGCGGAGGATCTTGAGCGGCACGATGAGCGGGTTCGTCATCAGGTCGTTGTACACGCGCGCGTGGAATATCTGGATCGAGCCGTCGTCCGACGAGCTCGCGAACAGCGGGTACGTCGGGTGGAACGCCACCGAGCGCAGCGCCCGCGCGTGGTACCTGTGCGCCGCGAGGAGGGTCAGCGGGGGTCGCTCTGAGCGCGGGGTACGTAACAAGGGAGGGGGGAGGGCGGTAGAGGAGGTGGCGCATGGGCTAAGGGGGAGTATGTATGTACGGCATCGTCCGCGGGGGTATGGAAGGGGGACGGAGGCGAACATGGAGGCGAATAGAAAGGAGGGGGAGGTTGGCTAGGAAACGGGTGACGTACCGGAGAATCTTGTACGGCTTGTCGCTCAGCTCGAGGTCGAACCAGCACAGTTTGCGGTCGTAGCCGCCGACGATGAGGTGGTCGCCTGACGGGTGCACGTCCATGGACGAAATCCACCGGATGCCTGGCGTCAGCGTCTTCAGGAGCGTCTGTTCCGCGAGGTTGTACATCCGCACGTAGCGTTGCGTCTGTGAAAATAAGGTCAATGGGGCCCAATACGCGGGACAAGGAGGTGCACGTACTGCGACGAAGAAATGCGGTTTTGTTGGGTGGAAGAGCACCAGCTGCACCTGCCCTTTCACCTTCTTGAACGGCGCCTGTGAGTGTCGCCTTGATATTTGATGCATCCATACGCCACCTTGCGCTTCGGCTGGATAACGAGAGCGTCAGCATCCCCTAATAATAACGGTCAAACATCGTTACGCACACACGGAAGCGATGTAATCGCCCTTGCGATGCCATACGAGCTGCTTGGGCGGCTCTGGAGACGATGGTAGGCTGAGAGTGAGAATGGGAGCATCGGATGTGGATTGCGCTGCGGGTACAGAATTCCACTTGACGGGTGACGCGACCGCAGGGGGCGGAGGGAGGGTGGCGGGCGCGAGCACGTTTTGTGTGGCGGTGAGTATGGGACCAGGGAGATTTGGCGGGATGAGGAAGTGTATGTGGTCCTCGCTGAGCCGACTATTAGCACAACGGAAATACGGAAAAAGACGAAAACGCGCTCACATTCCGACAGCGAAGAAGCTGACGTCCATCCGCGGGCACCACTCGACCGAGCCAACTTTGCCCTTGAACTTCCACCGCTTCACCTCCTTGCCCACAAGGACCTCCCACAGGCGCACAAGCCCGCTTTCGTCCCCACTCACGACCCACGCGCCATCGGGGCTGACGCTGACCGCGCGTGTGCGAACCTCCTCGTGCGGGACCTGTAGACTGCGATACACGGGGAACGGGCGCAGGCTGCTCGGGCTCGGGAGCTTCGGGATAAGGCTCTCTGGGTCGATGCGTAGCTTCACGCGCTGTACGCGCGGCGCGAGATACAGATCGAGCTGTCGGCTGAACCGCTCCTTGATGAAGTTGTCGTACGCGGGCACCAGGCGCAGCGCCGCATACTTCTGCGGCATGAATTCGCGCTCACGGTCCTCCGGGTCAGTCTCCTCCCACTTTTTGCGCTCTTCGGGAGTGGGCAAGTACTCCTCAGGAGGGTTGTAAGATTCCGAGTTGCCAGGGAGTGTCGGCTTGGGAGCAGGTGCGGGCGCGGGACCAGTGGACGGGTCCTCATTCCAGATGGCGTAGAACTGAGGCGCGCCAGACGCGGTTTTCGGCTTGTTGGGCAAAATACGGCCCTGGCGGATGGCACGGACGATCTTCATGACCTGTTTTACGAAGTGAGCAATATACGCAGTCGTCCGAAAGGTTGCGCTACTGACCTTCTGCTTTTCCCACTTACTAGGTACCCATCTCCGCTTGGGCTCGGGAGCAGCGGATAGTGGCATAACCTCCTCCTTGCCTTTTCCGGTGAACCACTCCACAGTTGGCTCGTAAGGGTCATAGTTGGCGTCCGGGTTCTCACCCTGTTGCAACCGTCGAATGATGTCCAATTCCTCAGAGGTCAAAGGCTTGTCCGACTGCATGTTCTTGTCGAAAGCAGACGTCCTACACGAAGTCAATATATGGTTGCCTAGGTGAGAAACTAGGGTATACTGACCATGCCTCTGGGTCCTCCACTGTCTTGAGGAACTTATCCAGCTCGTCTCCTCGCGCAGGGCGGAGGACCTTCTTGCCGTTAATATCGTAGCCTACATGGGGTAGATCGTCGTACCAGTGCATGGGGATGTCACCGACGCGGTTAGGTGTCTATTGGGTATAAGCGGAGCGTTAACAAACCGCGAGTGTAGATGAGAGTGTTCATAAGAATGTCGTACGTCTTCGGTAGACGAGTCTGAGTCGTAGTCCGGCTCAATATCAGGGTACACGCGTATGGGCTGGCCGGTGATGTCGGATATGACGGTCTTTGGTTTGGGCCATACGTGAAGAGAGTCGTCGGAGGCGTCGGATTCGCCTTCGTCCTCGTCTTCTTCGTCTTCGAGCTCATCTTCGTCGTCCCCTTCGTCCTCCGTATCACTGCTGGTGTCAATTTCGGGGAAGTCTTCATAGTCGCCATCATCCGACCCCTCATCCTCGTCTCCGCCCTCGTCCTCGCTGCCCATCTCCAGACCGACTTCCTGCGGGAACGCAGAAGGTAATGGTGCCGGCGCAACCTCCTCCTCAGGCGCGACCTTCCGCTTTTTCGAGAGCTTCTTAGCGTCTGCAGCAGCCATGTTGCCCGATAGAACCGAGACTAGACCAGAGTGTTGTGGGGGAGCTGCAGAGCGCAGTACGGCGCAGCGGGTGGTCCTTCTCGAAACCGAGCGCCTACGAAATTTCCTGGTGCAGAGCACGTGCGCTTGATCGCGAGATCTGCATCGGGAGCGTGCGCGCGTTCGAGTCTGGAGGCTCGCGCAAAGTCTGGGACGCGCCTTTCATCCTCACCACTCCCACTTCCCTGCTTCGTCCCACCATGGTTAACTACGGCGGAGGTACGCTCTCGGTATACAGGAATTTGCACGCGTATATGCTTACTATGTGTCATAGATGAGGTCTCTGCGCTCGTACTAGACATCGGCTCATCCTCCTTGCGCGCGGGGTACGCGGGCGATGATACCCCCAAAGCGATCGTACCCACCGCGTTTGGCTACCTGGAGGAGCCTGCCTCTTCTGGCGGAGATGTCGCTATGGGCGAAGCCGGCGCTCCGGAGGGCGAGCAGCCGGAACCGCTCAAGCCCAAGGTGAAGCTGCATATTGGACAGAACGGCCCCTCCCTGTGGCGGAGCGGGATGCACGTTGGGAACCCCATGGCGGACGGTTTGGGTACGTATCTCCTCCGTGTATGTTCCTCCCGCCAGCTTGTAACAGTCGGAGCTGTTAGTCCAGAACTTCGACTCCATACCTCCCCTCATCAACCATGCATTTACGGATGTCATGCGCTGCAACGCCTCCGAACACCCCGTGCTCGTCACTGAGGCCCCCTGGAATACCCCTGCGAACCGGGAGCGTATGGCAGAAATTATGTTTGAGGAATTCCAAGTGCCCGCATTCTACATTGCTAACACCGGTGTTCTCAATGCGTCAGTACCCCACCATATTCTTAGAGGGAACGTAGAGCTAACGCTTCTCATAGTTTCGCTGCTGGAAAAGGCTCAGCACTGGTCATCGACATCGGCCAGTCAACGGCCAGCGTCACGCCCGTTGTTGACGGATTCGTCCTGAGGAAAGGTTTGTGTTGCGCTTTGCATACCGCTCAGCAGAGTTGACAAGCTATTTCTAGGACTTTCGCATTGCGCACTCCCGCAATTGGTGCATGCACACGCGAAGCACATGCTTGCAAGCCCTACCCCGACACGACCAGCCATCCAGCTGCTGTCTCATCAGCTGATCGCGAGCAAGCTTGTCAGTTATATACACGCTACTACCGGGTTTTCGCTTACATATGAACGTCTTGCAGCCAGTTGATGCAGCCATGCCACCAAGATTCCAGCTCCGCGACGACCGTATTCCTGGCACGACGGACACCTGGAAAGCCTGGGCTGAGGCGCACGAAGTCGACGAGTGGATCCAGAGCGTCGCCGGAGTCCTCCCTCAAGGCTGGAACGAGCAGTACGACAGCCTACTCTCTTCTCCGCACGACGGTACTGACCGCCGCGCAGAGCGGCGAACCAGCAAGGTTCGCGACACTACGAGTTCCCCACCGGGGCAAACTACTACTTCAGCGGCACGGAGCGCTACGCGGTCGGCGAACAGTACTTTACCCACTCTCCACAGCTCATCGTGCGTACCTCGTCCTGTTTTCCTCCGCTCGCCTCCCGCTAACTTGACGCACGGCGTCGAAATCAGGCGTCGAACCCGAACCTCCCGAAGACGGTGCCGGCGTTGATCATGAACGCGATCCACTCGTGCGACCCGGACCTCCGCGGGGTCCTCATGGGCAACGTCGTGCTCACCGGCGGCGGCAGCTTCTTCGCCGGCTTTGCGGACCGCCTCCACACCGAGCTGACGCGCCAGTTCCAGATCGTACGTACCGCGGTCCCCGTTCCGGTCCCGAATGTCAACTTACCATCCGTCATGTTTACAGGTTAAGGTCCATGCCCCTGGCAACCCGACTGAAAGGAGGTACGGCGGGTGGCTCGGCGGTAGCATCCTCGCTAGCTTGGGCACGTTCCACCAGCTGTGGATCAGCAAGGAGGAGTGGCAGGTGCGTACAGGCATCCAGACCGACCTTGTTCACGGTCCGGCGGCTGATGCGCTCGATAACAGGAGCACGGCAAGGCCATCGTCGGGCAGCGTTGTAAGTGAAGGGATGGGCTCTCGTGTACGAGGACTGTGTTGTACTATTTGTTTTTTTTGCTGCTTCAACATTCCCGGTGTGTAGTCAGCCACAAGGACTTGCGGGCATCCTACGCGTAGGCCAACCGGTTTGCAAAGTATTTCCCCGACGTGTGCACAAAGCAAAGAATCAGAGGAAGCGAAGCGCATGATTGCTATTCGAATGGGTGTACAAGGATCAACGCAACACGGAGGTGCTGTGCAAGCAAGCTCGCCGCGCACGCCACGAGGCGGGGACACCTGCCCCCGCGCCCGCACCACACGCACGCGGCCGCCTGCGGCTAGTTCTACAGTACCGTCTCTCGACCTGGGGAAGCGCTGCTTCCCTGCGCCGTCCCGCCACCTCTGCGCACGCAGACCATGCCACTGCTGCCAACCACCGCCGCCGACGCAACTCCGTCGGAACCCACGGACCCACACGCATCGCATCGATATCGTACCGCGCGGCCTCCTCGCAAGGGAGGCCGTGAACCAGACCACGGGTTGCCCCCGCGCGCGCGACTGCCCGAGCCGACCGCCGACTGAGCGGGGTCAGGCAGGGGGCGCGCGGTGAGCGAGGAGGGAGGGGGAGCGGGGGAGGGAGGGGAAGAAAGTGTATGAAGGGGATAAAGAAGGGGGTAAGAAAGAAATAAACTCTGGAAAACCGAGACCAATCAAGGGGGTTTAGGGAGTGAGTGGGATAACAGGCACTGCGCCAATCGGGGGATCCGAGCGGCCGCTTGTCTACTGTCCGGTCGGGCACACGCACGCTTAAATACGACGCTGACTAGGCGAAAGGAAGGTGGAAAGGGGTGGGCCGGCAACACCAGGCGAGTCTATCGTACAACTTCATCAAAGGGGTCGGTCCGTCAAGTATAAGGGGAGATGGTCGGGGCAGGAGGCAGCAGCGCAGGGCGGTGTGAGCATCGTGGTCGAGGCGGAGGACGAGCCGGGCGTTCAGAACGCCTCGATGGCGATCTCCCGGCGCTCGCGCGCGTGCTCCAGGAGTGCTCCGACGGCCCTACGCCTGCTGCGCGTCGCGAAGTTCTTCGGGACAAGCTCCTCGGTGTTCGAAGGCGGGCCGCGCGGCTGGCGCACGGGGGTGCTCACCAGGCGCTGCACGACCATCTGCGAGTCCTGCGGGACGACCACGTTGATGGTGGGGACGGAGCGGCCAAGTCCGAGACCTTCGTACAGCTTCTTCGCGGCTTCCTCACGTGGGGAAAGCGGGACGTCACCCGAGGTGGTCGAGTTGGGTGTGCTGGGTGAGGAGTTGGACCTGGATGACACAGAGCTGTCGTCCCCGTCTCCACCATCTGCGTCGATAGCCACAGCGGACACCGTTGGTGCTGACGTCTCCGCCGTGAAACGAAGGGGTTGGGGCCGGACCTTCGGCGCGATGAGCCCGGGAGGGGGAGATACACGCTCGCTAGGAGGTGGGGTGATCCTCACGGCAGGAGAAGAGACGGCGCGGTTGTTGCCGCTCAATACGGAGTTGTTGCCCGCACGCCGCCATGAGACGGCGGTGTCCGACTTCGATGGGGCGTTCGTAACATTGCCGTTCCCGTTGTTGTTCGCGTTTCCGTTACCGCCCATCATACCTCCTAGCGAAGTACCCCCACTGATGACTGTGGTATAGCTGGGGGTGGCCGGAACGCGCGCGCCCACAGAGAAGTCATCCTCATAGTCGTAACCGGATGAGGGCATGCGGCTGCCAAATTTGCCATTGATAGCGGCCGTCATGGGGACCTGCTCGTCGGCGACACCGAGCTTCGAGCGAAGTTGGTCCGCCTGGTTGGCGCGACGCATCTGCGCTTGCGCAGAAACGGCGCGCATGTCGAACGATGTGTTCATAGGGCCGGCGGTGGAGGGCACCACGTACGAAGCAGCGCGCCTGTTGTTCTGCTGGGGCTGCCCGCGGCGCTGCTGAGCCTGCGCCTGAGCGAGCAGCTCGGCCTGGTACTGCTGAGCCTGTATAGCCTGCACATGAGCATCCACGTGCTGCGAAAGTGGTGTCAGAAGACGGACCTGCATCCGGGCGAGCTCCATCTGCATCAGCTGAAGCTGCACTTGCTGCAGCTGGTTTTGTGCCATCGCGGGGGACATGAGCGGGTTGAAGCCGTTCATGTTCATGGACTGCTGTTGCTGTTGCTGTTGCTGTTGCTGGAGGAAGCGGTTCGGGATGCCATCGACCGCAGCAGTAAGTGGTGCCTGACGGGTGCGATTCTGGATGTACATGTTCTGGTTCATCATGCTCGAGAGCTCGTCCTCTTCCTCCGGAGGATAGAAGTTGTCCTCTTGGTTCGGAGCGATGATGCGGGGGATGTTGAACGTGCCAGAGGGCGCTGCGGTATGCGGAATGGGGCCCGAGGCGGAACGAACGCCGCCGGTGCGAAGGCCGGCGAGGAGAGACGCGCGGGGGTTGGGAGCGGGAGTGGCCATTTCGTGTCTTTGAGTGGGAGATGGGTAAACTTGATGATCCGGTTTGAAGAGTTTGAGAGTGAAGGGTTTGAGCGGGAGAGAATGGGGAAGAAGTACAGCTGGGTGTGGTTCAAGACAAGGACTGCCTGTCAGGGAGCGTTATGGGGCTATCGCCAGTAATTTTCTCACCTGGCGAGGTTGTGCGGATGGTCTGAAGCTGGTTCGGTGCGGTAGGATGGACGTCTATCTCTCTCCCCGGAGGATTGCGGTTGGTGGGCGATGTGGGTGCGAGTTTTGCAGGAGTTCTGCGAAGCGAGACGAGAAGAGCCGGGCGGGCGATTAGAGTGGTTTGGCCGGAGAAAGAACTGGCGCGTATGTAAAGGTAGAGAGATATATATCCTAAAAGGTGAAGACAGAGAGAGACAGAGAGACAGACAAACGGAAAAGGGGGCCACCAAAGAGGTCAGAGGAGAGAGGGAGAGACAGTCGACAAATATCATCCTCCAGGGCCCGCGCTCAGTATCGCCATCGCGCGCCGGACCCCGGCCACCCCGGCACCCATCACTCCGCTCTCCTCCCGCAGTTGCTCTTCGACGCCCCAATCGACAGATGCACTCTATAACAGCCCTCGTACACACGGCTACAGTACATGCTGGCATCTACCCTAGCTTCTCGCTAATCACCCCCTCGCCGGGGCCTCACCGCAGGGACCCCGCGGGCCATGGCGCACGGCGAAACAATAGGTGGGCGCGCAGGTGACATGTTGACTCCAAAGCTCCTTTTGTCTCCGACGCGCCTCGGAGGGACGATCGATGGCCTACAGGTACTTCTTCGCGCTGGCCCTCACACGAGAATCAAAAACTGGGCTCCGGATGGGCGTATGCGCCGTGTGGAACGGGTTCAGCATCGTCTGGATCGCGGGTCGTAACCGTGGCCTCCGGACACCCTGAGAGGAGGCAGTACTGCTCACCTTGACGTACAGCTCCCAAACATCACTGAAGAACGCCTTGATCCCGTCGTCGTTACGGGACTCGTGCAACAGCACAAACTTCATATCTGTCGCAACAGATCCCGGTCAACTCACAGCTCGGCGCAGGTACTTTGTAACGCGTACTGCCGGGGGTCACGAACGCCGACACCGTCCATTCGTTGAACTTGTCCACGGATTTGAGGTACCTGCAACACGGCCCGACAAAGCAACCGAGGTCCGATGTGAAGCAGCCATGGCGAACAAAGGCGACACAGGCACGAACATTACACTGTCCTTACGCATTACCTCCTCTATCGCGTCTAGGCTTGCATTTGCTATCATCTGAATGACATGCCTGTCCTGCCCCGCCCCTATCTTCACGGTCCCTCCCTGCCCATGTTGTGTCTGTGTCGCGCTCGAAGCTCCGGACAATGCAGTCAAGGTTCCGGCGAAGGCAGAGGTAGACCAGCTTGGTAGGTTGGAAGCTAGTGGAGATGAAGTCGACTGAGAAGGCTTTGAGGAATAGTGCGTCAGGTTGTAAAGCGGGGTATCAGAGGGAGAAAGCAGGAACAGGTGGTGGGACATGGCTGTAATGAGCCAGTCGCGCTCGACAAAGACGCGCGACGCGAGAGGATGATCGGGCGGTAGCACATGGAGATGCCATTGCCAAACATGGACACATACTCTCGGCACGCAGGGTGAGGTCACTTGCGGCAGCCGTCCTGCATCTCTCCTGCACACCATGAAGCGGTCCTTGCTCTCTCTGTCCCCCCTGATCTCATCCACAAATGTATGCTTTCGGACACATCTTCTGGCTGGGCTGAAGCCGAGGCTATGTCTCTCTGCGCGACCCTCATCGTTCAGCACCGTACCTCTTACGCGCACTCTGCATGACTTCCGGACGCCGCCATCCACACTGCGGGAACAGTCTATACTGCAATTTCTGTCCAGCAGGCTAGCTCAGGCAACACATAGAAGCGGCATACGCCGAGGCCGCGCTGGTGGGAGCTACGGAGGTGGTCCAGAAGGACCATGGCAGAGATTACGCGCACGAATCAACGCCATTCCGAGCAATTACATCTTCTGGGGCATCATCGGTCTGAACGGCTTGGTGTTTGTGTCCTGGAACCTTGCATGGGCCAAATACGTGCGTCCGATACTGCATTTCTGCTATGCATTTCTTTAGGCTTACGGCTCGGATCCGGACGCAGCAAAGCACGGGAGATGCCTCCTCGTACTTATGGCTGCGGCGAAACTTCACGTCGTCTGCGGAGAACATGCAGGGCGGTCGATGGTACGTACACGAATTTATCCCCTCGAACTCTACGTGAGACCCGTCCGATCAGGTGGACGGTCGTAACAAGCTGCTTTTCCCATGAGTCCTCCATGCACATCCTCTTCAACGGATTTACGTATTACTTCATGGCGCCATTAGTCCTCTCGATACTCGGGAACGTAGGCTTCCTCGGGCTTTACCTCGGAGGTATGCCACCTCCTTTCTGGTCGCATTGTGCCGATGCTCACCCCTCTGACCGCTGTAGGCGGCATCACATCTAGCTTCGCAGGCATCGCTTGGCGCAACTACAACTCGCCCTATCCGGGCCCTGCGGGTTCGCATGGTGCCAGCGGCGCGATATACTCCGTCATCTCGTTCTTTGCTTGCGTAGCACCTACCGCGACCTTCGCGCTCTTCGGCATCATTCCTCTCCCGGCGTGGGCTTTCGTGACCGGTATTTTCCTGTATGATGGCTACAGTGCCGTAAATTCGAAGGTGGGCCTTTCGATATGTGAACACTACTTCCCTCTTGTACTGACCGATATTATCGCTACGCAGCGCGTGGCCACCGATACGGCGGGTCATATCGGCGGGCTCCTCGCGGGCATCGGGTATTTCATCGCAAAGCGGTTCAGAGTGTTCTAAGGCGCAAGTCCGCACTATTTACACGCATCATAGAGCATCATCTCGCAACCACCCCGTTCTTCATAAAATGAAAGGCCTTTGCCGTGTACAAACAAGAGTCAAGTCGCTGCCGCGCTGCCAAGTACCCTCGGGCTCCAACTTCTGACCGACGGTGACTATGAATAACAACCCACGGATCCGGCCACGATGCCAGGCTGGCGATCTCAGCCCGGAGCGAGTCAGTTGTTCGGCTCCGATGGGTGCCGCCTCTTGACCTGGCGCCGTTGAAGCTGACGGGGACGGCGGAGTCTCCCGCCCACCGCCGTGGATCGATCGGTGGCTGTAGTGCGAGCTCGTTACTCGGGCGCGAGTCCCAGGCCGAGTGCGCCGTCGACACTCACCGCACAGTCTCACCGACACCGCCGTGAGTTGATCGAAAGCTGCAGCGGATGTCAGCCTCCAGATAGCCTCCGCCCGCCTCGAAAGGAATAAGAACAGCTTCAGAACGCCCACATCCCCCATTCGCGCTCTGTTCCCCCCTCCGATATCCCCCCTCCCCTCCCCCCACCACCCCGCATGAGTCACCACGCCGACAGGCAGGGGCCATCAAGACACGGGCTCTATCCTGGCGTCAGCGTGTTCCCACATTGCCGATGGGCAGGGGCCGCTCCAAGCGTCGTCAGAGTACTGCAAGCAAGCGGTCAGAAGCTCCTTAAGACTGAAGTGCATATTG